GAGGAATGGGCGTCCACTAGTACCGTGCAGCCGCTGCATGCGTGTGATGGCCTATACAGGCTACCGGTAGCTGTCTGTCCGTGAACCAGTTTTTCAGAAGCATAGCACATATCGGCGCATGCACATATCGGCGCATAGAAGACGGTGTCCCGTGTGTTTCCGGTGGCGCTGGAGGGTGGTGGGCTGCTGCCGGTGGAGCCTGTGATGGGGCACTTCCCGACGATAATCGTCTGGCTCATTGGAACATAAAAGCTCTGTGACAGAAGGCCGAGTTTGCGGATTCGTATTGAGCTGCAATGCAAATGTTCGACGGTTCTGACTTTCCAGGCAGATGCGCTCAACTGCCGGTCGCCGTACACTGATGCCGAATTACTGCTTTATACTGCCAAGCAAGCATGATGCCTCCTTGCTTAAATGATGCCAAGCATCGTCTTGCCCAGAAGTACTGCAGCCGTGGAGCAGCCCCCAGCACCACAAAAACCAGCCACAGCGCTCAGGGCGAGCATGAGACATGCAGGAGTTCCTGGGCAAGGGAATCCAGCCATTGGATAAACGCCAAAAAGCCTCCTATTCGCCCCCCTGACCTTCTAAGGGCACTAAATACCGGTATTCTTGGAGCCTGTCCAAAACGCCAAGAGAAAGCTCTTTCCATGTTACTCTACGGCTCCTTTGATGGAGGCATCCAGCAACACTCTCCAAACATGCTATCCAGCTGAAGAATCGTGGCCTTTCGAACAGGGACCATTCCTTCGTATACGGCAACTCCACCCCATATACGGGGAATCAAAACCTGCCTTCAGTCGGGGCGGTACGTTGTCACTAAGTTGGGCCTCCACTGCCGTCACCCAAGCCGCGGGCACCTCACCCAACAAGTTTTCTAGTGACAGCAGCAGACCATGGAGTCTGGGCAGGGAACAACGCGCAGAGGCAACCGAAAGAACCGGATAGGAGCCGAAGGATGAGATATGACCATCAACACATGATCTCCGCATCCTCCATACAACAAAGCTTATCTTGAGCATCCTTATACTGCAAAACTATAGTTATTAAAAACTGCCACAACAGTACATACACGAAGGGCATGGCAATGAACTAGGACCGGATGACAGTATTCCAAACCCAACATGCCTGATTAGGCCATCACACCAACAGGCAAAAACGGAACACCCCAACACCAACAACCCGGTTTCAAAGGATCCGGATACAATACGTCGGTATTAAGCGGTGAAACCAACACAGAAAATACTACACGTTGGATATGTTCCGGCAAACTATCTACCCCCAGCCATGGCCCCGCCATATTAGTCGTGGAAAACGCCAGGGGACTAGAAGCCGGATGCAAATCCTTAAAATTGAAATCAGAGCACGTTGTCAAGGATGCATAGACCCCCAGCCACCACCGTTGAACGAACAAGAAGGGCTCCCCAACAAGCAAAGCGAGCCCGAACAACGTCTAAGGAAGGCAAAACATCAAAACCATCTGCCCATCTGCCCCGGGGTGACTCAGCGGGTGACCTGGTAACAGTCTATCTGCAACACTTGCAGCACGCCCCTCCCCATCTTGCCGACACAGGTGCCCAACAAATTTAGCAACTTGCCAGAACCTGCTTGCCAAACTCTCCTAACTGATCACCCTGCAGTAAACCTCAATGCTTCCTATGCCAGGTCGCCACATGCAGCAGAGCTGCAAGCTGCCGTACCGTTAGCCCGACAGAGAATACGGTAGAAGAGGACGACGGTCCTCCGCTGTCAGGAACCGCTTGCTCCAATAATCAAGACACCAAGCTAACTCATTTTTCCGCTAAAGCCACTGCCGTACAAGCCACTGACAAACCCCAAATGTCACTACTGACACTAACCCAGTGAAACCCCAAGTCCCCAAGAAGCAAAATTTCAGTCTGTCGAGATTTAAGCGCAACGACTTCATTCACTGGAGGATTATGTCCCTCACACATCAGGCCCATGCCTTCCGGTTTGGGATCACTGCAATAACGGTCAATCATCCAGACCTGCCGTACACCACTACCTACCAACACCGTACCATTAGCAAACTGGACCACAGAGGTGAGGAAGGAATTCGAGGGATCAGATTTTATACCCGCCTGACAGTGCTGTAAGCTACACAAGAGGGCTGGCGAGGCAAATAAACAAGTACAGCGAGGGTGCTTAAGGACACCCTTGCCGGACACACGCCTCCATACACACCTGTTGCCATGCATGAACAGCCGCATTTACTTCCGATGTGGATACCGGTGTTGAGGACGTGTCAGTAAGCACTTTCAACAGACTTGCACCTCTCTCATAGCTCGCATACATAAAATAGAGCGCATTTCGGTCGAAGGTATGAAACGCCTAGGCAAAAATCATTGATGAGGCCACCATGCCGGCTTGCCTTTGGTGAGTTATGAAATGCTGTGACGTACGCAACAACAAATGTTTTGCGCCAACTAACCTGTCAGACAGGAACGCCGGCTGCTCTTAAGTAACCACGTTAGCCGGCCCAAGGCGTGATGCAAGTAGGCGGTTGTATGGGTGCACCCTTTTGGATGGCTCAGGAGGCAAAGAAGGAGCGCTACCCACATGCACGAACGTTAGTCCGACACACTTCACCTCTGCCACCCAGTTCCACAGCGGCATGCAGCAGCGGATCAGCACCGTACACATCCCGCTCGAACTATGCGCAGCACGCTGCTCGCGAGAAATGAATCACCGCTGCTCATATCTGTGTGCCAATCCGTATCAGCGACGTCACCGTCATACTTCCATAGCTAGCCCTGTCAAGCGATAACGTACTCCGTAACGTGGGAAAACGTGCCGTACGGCTGGTGGGAGGCGAAGATGTTCAAAACTGCACCCGCGCCTCCACGGGAGACGTTCTTGATCGTAAAGGCATACAAGTTGGAGTTGCCGTGGCCGTTAGTACTTGATAGGGTTGCTGGGTAGAATTTCTGGTTGCTGTTGGTGAATGAGGCCAACATGTGAGTTCCCTTCTTCACTTTAAACACAATCCGAAGCCCTTCGTCCGACGTAGACGTGTCTTGAATTACCAGCTGCTTGTGCGAAATGGGCAGCACACCCAGCTCCCAGCAAACCGGAAAACGAAGCTTAACAACCCTCGTAAATGTCTGCCAGCTGAGTCGGTAGTCCTCTGGTAGCAGCGTCCAAGCAGGGTTCTCCGGAAAGTGTGATTGCACAAAGGCTAGCGGATCTGCCATGTAGTACTGCCGGCCCCATTCCTGGATATACGTCGTACCGTTGGTGTGGCCGGCGCACCAGGTTGGATCCACAAGATGCCAGCGCTCCTTGCGCCTCGAGGGGACGTACAACTTGACCGCATTCCAGTTGTGGTTGGCTTCATACTTCATGCCTGAGGAGGCTGTGACCGTCGTACCGGAAAGACTCCGGGTGAAGCCCATACCCTTCGCGTAACCGGAGATAACTTCGCACTCCACGTTACAAGCCTTGCACAGCGCTGCCATGAGCCGCGAGAAGCCATGGCAAACCGTACACCTGGGCGACAGTTTATTTGACAGGGAAGTGAACCAACTGAAAGAAAGAAAGCGACAAGTAGTGAAACAATAAAGATGCAATTCGCATGTACGGCCAGCAGACAGGGCCGTACCATCGGGCAGTACTTGTAGAAGTGTATGTGCGGATTCCTCAGTTCCCAGCGTATGCCGACGGGACTTATAAACCCCAACAATGTACGGCAAACACCGCCTACCTGTCTCGCAGCACATCATCGGCAGTCATGCTTCGGACGGTTCCGCCGAAGTAGGCTTCTGTGTCGTACCGCACGTTGAGGTGCAGCCAGAAGCAGATGGCGCGGACCTTCTCCTCGGGGCTCCTTGCCGCTGAGGCCAGGTAGGTCGCGAGGTCGGCTATGGTGCGGGTTACAGATGTCGGGCAGGCGCGCGCGTGTGCGTCCATGGCCGCCATCCGATCTTGTGATAACGTTCCACGGTATAGCGGGCATTTCATGTCGTTGACCACGGCGTCTAGGCGAGCGAACGAATCAGCTTGCTCCATGTCCGCAGTCAGAAAGTAAGGATGTCTGTAAATCCTGACTGCGACGTCACAGCAGTAGGCACAGGCAGGGCAAGTAAGACGGCGAAAGTAAGGCTCAAATGTTAAAGGCCGCCGTTGTGCCAGAAGGTATATATTGAAGACTTATAGTTGCTTTATATTGTTCTAGTTGTGCAGAGAAAGCTTCGCATTCTATCAGCTGTCCCAGCATGCAGCGACCTGCTAATCATGACTTCTCTCACCTACTCCTCCAATCTATTGCCCCATAGCAACAAAAAATGACCAACATACCTTGTAAACGTAGTTTTAGGTGGCTTCTTATCCACAGAAGTGCTTTGCAGCGGCTTGCAAAATGCGATGTCCGTTCACGCTTCGGCAGCGCCCTCCGGAGCTAAACCATTCTCGTATATTGTGTCGTCGATAAATTATAAACAACAACTTGCACGGCTGCTTAGGCCGTCTTGCCTACTTAGGCTTGTATGATGGTACCAAGCGGCGGCAAGGATTGCGACTATTGGGAAAAGAAGCTGTTGTGGATTGTCCTCAGAATGATCTTGCGTGACAAATGAATCACAGTACTGTGACGCGGCCTACCCTGGAGTGGCACCGGCGGAAAATCTGCGAAAGCACAAGTCGGGGAGCTGCATAGAGACTGGGGTAGACCGGCTCAACTGCCGGTTCGTTACCCGGTTGCCGTACACTGACCGAGATACGGCCAAGCTAGCACTCCAGGAAATTGGCACGACAAGTTGCTCATATGGCCAATCATCAACGTCGGCACTACAGACTATATATGGCATTCCAAGCTTACCGTACCGACGCTTTGCAGCCTCCAGGCAGGCTAGCCGTCGAGGGCGGTGCGGGGCGTTGGTTACATGATTACCGTGTTACGGGGAAAAGAGGAAACAACTAACTGACTGAGGGATAAGGCGTCAACATGGGTTGCAACATGTGAGCCAGCCCGACCCGCCCAGCCCGAATTAGCCAAGCCAAATTGCCGAATTAGCCCGTGTTACGGGGAGGCCTTGAAGGAGGCGGAGGAGGATTGCTACCCATAATCCCACCTGCATCGCTGGTTTCGTCACACTTCCACCACTGCCACCCAGTTCCACAGCGGCGTACTGCAGCCGATAGCATCGTACAGATCCTGCTCCCGCAGTACGCAACATGCTGCTTGCCGGGAACAGAAACAACGCTGTCCGTGGTGTACTGCAGCCGTTTTAAAAACTATCATCGACATACATTAAATAAATACTCAAGCAATGTTAAGCAATCACATACTCCGTAACCCAGGCATACGTGCCGTACTCTTGATGAGAAGCAAAGAACTTCAACACTTTGCATGCATCCGTGCCATTACAGGCAACTGCGACGTCCTTGATATAAAAGGCAAGCAGATCGCTGTTCTTGTTGCCGTACTGCTGCTCGTTGACGCCTGACAGGGTTGCTGGGTAAATCTGCTGGTTGCTGTCGTCGATTTTCGCCAACATGTGAGTTCCCTTCTTCACTTTAAACACGATCCGAAGCCCTTCATCCGATGTTGACGCGTCTTGTAACAGCAGCTGCTTGTGCGAAATGGGCAGCACGCCCAACTCCCAGCAAACTGGAAACCGCAACCTTGCGACCTTTACGAACGTGTGCCAAGTGGGTCGGTAATCCTCTGGTAGCAGCGTCCAGGCAAGGTTCTCCGGAAAGTGCGACTGCGCAAAGGCTAGCGGATCTGCCATGTAGTACTGCCGGCCCCATTCCTGAATCCATGTCGTACCGTTGGTGTAGCCGGCGCACCAGGTCGGATCCACAAGATGCCAGCGCTCCTTGCGCCTCGAAGGGACGTACAACTTAACCGCGTTCCAATTGTGGTTGGCTTCATACTTGATGCCTGAGGAGGCTGTGACCGTCGTACCGGAAAGATTTCGGGTGTAGCCCACGCCCTTCACGTAACCGGAGATCACTTTGCACTCCACGTTACAAGCCTTGCACAGCGCTGCCATGAGCCGCGAGAAGCCATGGCATACCGTACACCTGGGAGACAGTTTGACAGGATTGAAAGGGTGAGGCGGCAAGTTTTAAGTTGTCAAACGTGATCAGAAGCACGCACTTGGCATGTGCGCCCGGCCCTAGAGCATGCAGGGCCCTACCACCGCCGGGCAGCATACGTGTATGTGCAGCCTTCCTCTGTTCAAGACGTAAGAACGCGACGATGTACGGCAAACACTGCCTACCTGTCTCGCAGTACATCATCGGCAGTCATGCTTCGGACGGTTCCGCCGAAGTAGGCTTCTGTGTCGTATCGCACGTTGAGGTGCAGCCAGAAGCAGATGGCGCGGACCTTCTCCTCGGGGCTCCTTGCTGCTGAGGCCAGGTAGGTCGCGAGGTCGGCTATGGAGCGGGTTGCAGATGTGGGGCAGGCGCGCGCGTGTGCGTCCATGGCCGCCATCCGATCTTGTGATAACGTTCCACGGTAGAGCGGGCATTGCATGTCGTTGACCACGGCGTCTAGGCGAGCGAACAAATCAGCTTGCTCCATGTCAACAGCCTCTCGGTTAATAAGCTGCAATGTCGGAAGTTATGACTGCGGTTCAAAAAGCGGCAGGCACAAGGGGGGCATATCCTCAAGAAATGGGCGCATGGTTATGCATGGCTCAGCAGTTGCAGTTACCTGCGAATTACCTACCGTCACAAAAAACAGTAGAACCTCCCCACCAGCCGTGACAGCCAAGCCAAAGAGGTCAAATCCCCTTCACCCACAACCTCCAGCCTCTTCAAAAGTACACAAGCCACGACAACTTCACAGACCATTCAAGCAGGATGCAAGCCGCCAAGGGCCGCAGCTGCAGGGCTCGCAGCGCCCCCACTCTGCCGCATGCAGACATGCTCTCACTCGAAGGGGGTCTGCACACATGCAACAGAAGCAAGGGTAGCGTTCAAAAGGGTTTAGTTTTCCTTCGCAACTGAAGCGTCGCAGAAGCTCAGCAGTGTTACCAGTATTAGGATCCAGCTATGCTTACGGTAACTAACACAACGCCACACAAAAAGTCATCGTCAACAGAACATGTCCAGGGGGTCAACAACTAACGCCAGCAGTGGAATAAAGCACCAAAAATCGCTGGTATGGTTTGTCAACAACGCCCCTCAAGAACGCCAGTTTCGTGCCTCAACCAAGGAGCACACTGCTCCTCCGCTCAGTCACAGCTGAAATACTCAGCACAAGTACAGCGACCAGACCACCACAACACACACACATACACACAACTACACACACTGTTTTACCGCAGAACGCCGCCAACTCGCATACCGATACATGGCAACATGGGAGGTGACAATACAGCAAAAAAACAGCCCGAGCTGCAGCAGCAGGCCTCGCCACCCACCCCACCCATTGCCCCATTCTTCTTTTTCCCGCTGCCCCGCCACCACATTTCCTCTCGCCCCCCTGCCTTTCTTCATCATACACCCAACATGGCCCAAGTTGCCGCTGTAGGTCTAACGTTGTCCCATGCTCCAGGCCTGGCCATCAGACCACAGCACAACGCCATGTCAACGACCTACAAACTGACAAACGGAGACACCCTGCTGCAGAGGCAATCCTACCCGCGCGGCAAACACCGACCAAACATGACGTTGGAAGCGCGTTATGCATGGGCAAGCAGCCAATTGGCCACAGACTGCCGCATGCGCTAGCCCACATAGGTATCTTCACCAACATCGGGAGAAGCTGCCACTTGCCTACCGATTGCCACCGCACGCCCCGTTCTTTCATGGTCCCCTCACAAACCCTAGTACTAGGGGCATCTAACCAGCAGCTTTGGCGCACATTCAAGACGCATCTCACTAGCTTCACAAACGCACATCCCTTGGACGCACCCACGTGTTGGTGGCAGGCCTAACGGGCCCATCTGGCAACCGTAAAGATACAGAAGCGGTGATGGGACCCATGGGTCAATAAGAAAGCAATTAATAAAAAGAGAGACCACTCCCTCCGGGATGTTCGTCTCTGGCATCGTCAGACACGCAAGTACGCAGTATGCGGCAGGATGTGCTAGCTTACCGCCCCAATCAACTCAAAACACGCGACAACACCCCCTAGACAATGCAGGCACATGCTGACCCTCATCCCTCTTAACAAGCACGACGAGTTGCCCAAAGCCACAGCCACGATACTTGCATTCCCTGTCACTCACTCCTGAAGGCAGAGGAAAGACCAAGAATGAAAGAAAAGCAGCCGCCGACTCGCACGAGCCCCCCGCCACACCAACTCGATTGCGGTCAAACACATTGCACCAGACCATGCAGACCAACAAGTGGGTACTCGCATGGCGACACCCCACCCCACGGTCCACCACAGCAGGAAACACTCCCGACCTTGCAATCTTGTTATGTTGCCACCAGCCAAAAGCCACAACGATACGACCAAAAACATGGCCTCAACCAAGCCCCTTTACAGGAAAGAAACACCCCAGTGCTTCCGCATATCGGATATCACGAAAGAAGAGCAGAGAGGAACAGACGGTACACACAAACAAACCTTGCGTTAACCAAATCAGGCAATAGCCAGCCGCATCCGTCAAGGACACGCTTCGACACACCAGCCGTATACCTGAGTGAGTGACATGGGCTCGCTTACGCAGTCGCCAACACGTTCCATGTGACATGTGACTAGGTACAGTCCTCCTTGGGAGGTTAGGTGAGCAGTGTTGGCGGGGCTTACCCACCGTGAACAAGTTAACACCGGACAGCATTAGCATGCCACACGAATACGGCCAAACTCGGTCACAACAATTCACCATAGCCATACATAATGACACGGTAGCCATATACCACGATACGGCTCGCTTTTCAGAGGATAAAGGGTGTTTTGTGGCACAGGCCACTGCTGCGCAAGGTGTCCGCCGGGAAGGCGGGTCCGTTGCAAAGGCACGAACAGCGGCCGGGCAACGTACTAAACGGAGTGACAGCCGAAGGAACGACTGCGACAAGATCCCGCTAAAGGAATGTTTCAGGGGTGACCGCCCAGAAGCCGCATCAGGGCGGCCTTGCATCTGCGCCACACTTCTCCACATACTACTACACAGCAGTCCTGCGCCTACAACAGGCGACGAGAATGCCAGTTCGCCCAAACTAACACCGAGGCCGATGAAAACAGCCATACAAGCAACACAAAACGCGCGCGTGCGCCTCATCATCACCCATCCCATCCGCTTTTTAGTGCTACTTAGCTTATACAAGAAGCGCCCCGTACGGCTTTTCATGAAGCACCTGTAGTAGTCCTGTTATTATGGGTCCCAAGGATACGAGGCACGCATACTAGGGTAATGGTAGTCCACCGCCCATTGAAGTACATAAGGAGGGCGACCCCAAAATTAACAACACCCGTGTTCCCTTTTAGAGAACCATTGAAACGGTCATTCACTTAAACAACAAACATACGTGAACAAAACTGGCCGCGAGTCGGAACTGGTCACGAGCCATGTGCCAACAAAACCCGATCCTACCCGTATGGGGTAGCTAGCCAAAATGACAACATTCAAGACTTGAAGATGCCGAAAGCCTGCAGCAAGCGCTTAGCGCTACCTCCGCTTCCGGGCCGCAAGCGGCTGCTGCTGCTGCCACTGCTGCTGCCGCTACCGCTGCTGCTGCCACTCGGCCCAGATCCCCCGCCGGGAGACTCCTCACCGTCACAACTGCAGCAACCACCACCGCTGCTGCCACTCCCAACATGGCCCCTAGGCAGAGACCCAGCGCCTCCCTGCGCTGCAGGTCCTTTGTTGTTGTTGCCGCTGCCGCCACCGCTATTGCAGCGCGCCCCGCCGCTAAGGGAGCCGTCATTGCGGTGCCCGCTGCTGCCACTGCCGCCACCCGGCCCCGCTGGCGCCGCAAAGGTGCCGCAGCCCGTCAGAAGCTCCAGGATAATTCGCAGCACGTCGTCTGGTGAGCCCAACTGCGGATTGACGTACTGTTGTACAGCCTGTTTCACTAGCGAATGCAGGGCGCGGTGCTGAATGGCACGTACGGCAGCCATTGCTTCGTCGTACAAGGGGCGTACGGCACGCAGCAGCATCTCCCGGCGATGTGGGTCAAGATGCGCGCTTTGCGCTCCGCGGCCCCATAACTGATCGTGGATTTGAGCTGCCAGCTCCAAAGCATGTGTGGCCATGAAGGCATCTTCGTCATCCATGAGCCGCACTAGGTGACCGCGAGGCTGCGGAGGCGCCTGCTGGGGGTTAGGATCGCAGCCCTCACCGCAGCACACTGGGCTGCTGTGACTTGCAAGGCGCTTCATGGAATCACGACGGGCTGCCTTTGAGCTTAAACGACGTGAGGACAGGGAGGTGCTGGAGACACATTGCCAACGTGCTGGGTAGGATTCCACTGCCTCTAGGGTTCCGGCGGAGGGTTCGGTGGCACGACGTGGTGTGGAAGCGCAGGAGGTGTGTTGATGAACGTTACTGTTGTGATGGTGTAGAAGGCGGCAGAAGAGCTTGGAGGTAGCAGCGGCGACCGAAGCCATTGCGCCAGATGCGACCTGCGAAACCCTATGGTCGCGGTCGTGCGGGACGTCGATTGCATCATCGCTGCCAAGGTCGTGAGAACTGAACCGGGAAGGCTCATGGCCGGCATTGCTGCAGGAGCTCATCAGCATGTCATCCTCCTCGCCTTCGTGCTCGCCCTCCTTAATAGTCGTGGATATGAGCATAGTAGAGGCTTCACTCCATGCGCGATAGCATTTATTGTTCAAGAGAGTGGACATCTGCCCCAAAGGAAGAGTGGAGGACAAGGACCGGATGAGTCAGCACCCTTCAGCTACCAGATAAAAAACAGGGGACACTTTGCACGACAAGGAAGACCAGCACCACTGTAATCCGAGAGTTCCCTCCTGGCATTGGTAAGAGCATTTGGACCGCGCCCCTGATGTCCCACCTCACGCGGTGTAGGTGACTTCGCCAGCACAGCCCTCCTCAGCGAAACTGGTTGCACTGAAATATTCTCACCCATTTTACCACGCGTAAGCTGCGGTGTCCGCACGCCCGAAACGATAAAATGCCAAGTTGCCTAACCTAAAATCCCTACGCTTACACCATCATGAAAATAACATAAGCGGCAAAGCCATAGCGAGCAGCTATGTCCTTGCTGAGGACAAGAAGTCACGCGGGCATCGCTGGGAAATTCATAGGTCGGTACAATTGAGTATGAATTGGCAATTTGGTAAGCAGTGAGTATCCATAACACTTGTGTACAGGTGGGACGGGTTTGCGGAAACAGCGGACGGCGGCTGTACCTGTACTGCCTGCACCACCTGAAGTTTGTTGGCCACCTGTATCATGCTGCGCACCACAGTTTTTGTTTGGATACTCCTACGTACTGTTATTGCAATTTGTGTTCATATTTTTGCAAAGTATGTGAAACTTTACGGCTTGGAGAGGTCCGTGCAGTCGTGCGCCTTACATTCTGTCCTTCAGTAATCCTGCATTGACGACAGTAGAGAAAACACAAAGTCCTGCAACGTATGTCCATTGCTTGGGTAAACCTTTGAGCCAGCGCTGCTGTTAGGGACGCGTAAGCGCTAAGAGCCTGCGCGTTGCGCGTGTGGACGGTGACAGGGAAACGGTTTCGGAAACATAAAGGCAAAGTGTACGTGATGCAAACTGGGTAGGGAAGGGCTGGCTTGCCGGACGGAGGGGATGATTGGGCTGTCCTAGCACAATAACAACACATACGTAGAGATCCGAAGGAAGCATGCAGCCATGGCCCTACAATGGTTTTGGTGCATAAAGTGAACAGCTCTTGTAGAAACCATGGTTGCAACACCAGTGCTCATCTGCAAGGTTACCCGTAGTCGTGGTTAGTGCCCTTAATGACATCGTTATATTTCCCATGCGCTTGTGGAAGACCGAAGGAACACCCGGTGAAGGATAACATTTACGCTCTAATGTGGGCAAGTGTGTCTTCAAGTTACCAGACAAGCCTCCGGGTCACATGTCAAATAGTTATTTGGGTCGTAGTAATGAAGTAGGGCAAAAAATGTCCAGCGGTTTGCGTGTGGATTGTCAGTGGCCCCTGCAGAAGTTCAAGCGACGCGAGGGCTTATCAGTCGCTTCGTCCACGCCTCCGCGTGGCGATGGACTCTTAGCAGCGACTAAAGGGATGCATTCATTGTTTTTTTGCGCAAACGTTGAATGCGAGGCGTGCGCTAGCCCATAGGGCCCAATCTAGGCCCAACCTAACATCTTATCCGTTGAGAGAGCTATAACTACAGCTCGTGTGTACGGCGACGCCCGATCAGGGTTCGCGTACCAAAGAACTACACCGGCTATGGTGCTGGCATATAGGATACTACCCTCATTGCCTCATACCCGGTAAATATCATGAGTAAGATTATCATAATAAGAAGGTTTGCTAGCTCCTGCCAGCCCAATTTCTGCCGCTAAGATTGTTGAACTAGGCTACTGGTAGCAGCTGCCGACCGAGCTACAGTTCCGCACATTGTTCAGGTACCAAGCGGGCATTATCCGGGCATTATCCTTATTATCATAGCTAGGGCAGTAGTCCAGAAATTCATCATTTGCTTCTTAGGCGCGCCGGCGAGCGACTGCGACCGCCTTGGCTGCAGCAGCAGTAATTTCTACTACCCTACCTAACACACAATGCAAGTCAGCTGCAAGCATTGTCCTCACACCTCCATGCTGTTTGTGCGGGTGCAGGAGGGATGGATGCCCTTGCTACCCACACCGACGGCTTGCGCGCCGGTAAAGTCGCGACTGCCCTTGAGCGCTTTTGGACGGCCGACGATACAGCAACGCTGTGCGAGTTCCTCTGCTCCGGTGATTTCCAGGTAGCGACATACTTTGGCGGATTCCGTGCCGACTGGTTTACATGAAGATTCCTCTTTCGTTGACCCCAGCAGGGATGAGGGAAGGCCATTGACCCGTGGTTCACTCTCCAATCCTCAGTGAACCTACATTCCTGAAACCCGCGCACATCCTGTCTTCCCAGCCTGCCCATTCCCGTCTCCCGCTGCAGCTCCTATGGCACGACTCGCTGTTTCCTGATCAAGCTCTAGCGGGACTGGAGCAACTGCAGGTGAAGAGAAACGGGGAAACGATTTGAGGTGCTGATTGCGGGGTGGCAGAGTTTGGGTTTGAGGCACGAAACTTTCCATCCCATATACCGGTACCCACCGTGCTGATTCTTCACCTCTCTCCTCGCCTCCCACTCCCCTCCCGGGCCCCTAACCGGCCCCTCCCTGCCGCCCAGTCCCTCCGCCGGGTGCTCACCGGGGCCCTGCCGGACCTACACCTCCGCCTGCTGACACCGTTGCACGTGGCGGAGGGCGGCGTGCTGCTGGGGTACTGGACCACCAGTGGTGGGTGGCCTCGAAGCCTTAGTGGGGACGGGGAGGTTGCAGGCATGCAGGGGTTGCATGTTGTTGCAGCAGGCAGGGAAAGGTAATTTGATGAGGAAAGGCCGATGGGTGGTTCTGGGCGCTGGACCCAAAGAACGGGCGGTCTGGCGGGCAGGAAGGCGGGATTAGCGGGAAGGGAAATGCCTATTCGGATATTTACAGGAAGATCAAGGAGGGGTAGGAGAGTTGTATGCATGAAGTACCGGTAGTCGCCACCGTATGCGGCTTCCCACCGCTCTTCCCCACCACCATGACGCCCTCCGCAACCAACCCAACGCGCAGGCACCCACGCCGGGGCGCTGGGGCCCCCCCTGCCCCCCACCGGTGCTCGAGTCACCTGGGAGGGCAGCGTGCTCATTCGCGTCGCGGGGGCGGCTGAGCAACAGCAGCAGCAACAGCAGCCACAGCCACGGCACCCGAAGCCACAGCAGCAGCCACAGCCACAGCAGCAGCAGCCGGAAGGGCTGGCGCCCCATGCCAGGTTGCAAGAGCAACAAGGCTTAGCAGCATGCCCTACCCGGACGGTGGAGGTCTGGTGGTCTTGGGACCCCATCTTCCTCTTCAAGCAACTCGGTTGGCAACAACAACAGCAACAACAGCAAGGACAGGAGCAGCAGCGGAAACCGCACAGGCAACAGCAGGTGAGCCTGGCGGGATCATGCGAGGCGGCTGGGATTGCGGAGGAGTATCAGGAGGGTGCGCAGCAGCTTGCCCGACCCGCTTCCAAGCAACACGCCGACGTATCCTGTTTGGGCAATGGTTTCGGCGGCGGCACTAGCGCCCTGGCGCCTGAGTTTGGGGACACGGCGGCGCAGACAGCGGCTGAGGCGAGGGCTGCGTTTGCGACGGAGGAAGAGGCGGTGCAGGCTGCTGGTGCTGCGGTGGCGGCTGCAGCAGAGGCGGCAGCGGCAGCATGGCGGCTGTCGGCAGGGACGCCTGAGGAGGGGGCAGAGGCAGAGGCGGCGCTGGCGGGGGTTCAGGCGGCTAACCGGGCTGTGGTTGAGCTTTACTTCCACACTTACAACACGGGTGGGTGTGGCTGCAGTACGTAGGTTGGGTCTGTCGATTGCGGCTTCGTGTCTGCCGCAAGCTTCAGGAGAAGCGTTACCCAATCACATAAAACGCATGTGAGGGTGCAGGACGAGGGTGCAGCACGAGGGTACAGCATCCGCCTTCTAAAGCAAGGAACGAAAGTAGGAAACCAAACTAGGCATGTCGGGCAACAACAACATGCGATACTCAGGTTAATGTTGTCTTGTCGACCCAAACATGCGCTAGCACGTTGCTTGTTGAAGACAACGCGAACCCGCGCAGGTCGATATAAGGTGCTGGATCATATCGTACATCCTGAATACCAGTACGACGGCTTACTTGATCTGGGTGACAGGTACGGTATGTACGGCAGCGTGGGCCATCCTACCATATCCTTGGCTCAATAACATCGAGGCCCCGGTTCTGTCCCCCTGCTGCTTTCCGATGCACGCTAGGTACCCTTGTAATAAATAGGAATGCTTATGTACTTGTGCATTTGCTGTCCCGTGCTCACTGGGTACGACATACACCATTGTGCCGTACGACAGACGCGGTCGTACCGCCATGGAGGCCATGATGGGCGGCTGGCGTGACAGCTTGCCTGATCTGGCCATTGGACACGAGCTGTTTGCGGCTGTGGGCTGCGACAAGGTCACCTTCCGTTGGGTCATTCGGGTAGGTCAAATGCTGTGCACGTACTGGTACGCCCTCCACGTTCGTGGTGCGCAGCGGTGGTTGTCTTGCGTGTAATGTTATGTCTTTTCCTGTCATGCTCCTTTCCTGACTTGGAAACGCCCTAGCGCCCTACGTTAATCGCCGGCCTAACTCTTCCCTTCTCGTCTATGGCACGAATGACATTGTCCAGGGCACACACTCCGCTCCTGGCAGCAGTCCCCTGCTAGGAGTGCCCGCCTCCGGAGCCCGCTTGCTGGTCAAGGGCGTCACCACGCTCACAATCCGAGATGGCCGTATTGTACGGAAGGTTTCGCATGCGAATGCCGTACACACGCTACAGCAGCTGGGAGCTGCGGCGGCTCCGGAACTGCCTCCCATCTGGATGGCATGAGGCGAGGGTGTGCTTTTCCGGGCAGGGAAAATGCAAACCGGTGTGAGGGGAGGTTGTAGGAAAGTGCTTCGAATTCGGAATGGACAACTTGACTTGCATGCTTCATACCATCGCAATCATGCACTGGTATCAAAAAATTGTTGAAGGGCGGCATGTGATAGTTTTACACCACGGTACCGGTAGTTGCTACAATTTTGCTGCATTACAATACCGGTCATGCAGCGCGGGGAGACGTTTATCACTTCACCGGTGTTGAGTAGAGGGTTTGGAACATGGAAGGTATCCGCCGCATGAAGTGAGCTGATGCCAGGCTGCAGCAGGCTGCAGGCACAGGCGATTGCGTCAGCGCCAATGACATGTGTACGGCTCACGAAAGAAGTGCCTACATATGCCTAGCCGCATTACTAGTTTACTACGCTTACTGTCCAAAGCCCTCAGCCCCTTACCATCTTCAGTCAAGACAAAACAGCCTGCACCTTCCGTCATAACAAATAAGACTGCAGCCAGCTGCAGCACCAAAACGTTGCATCATCATCCTGGCTCTCCGCTCGCCCGGCATACCAGTACACCTGCTGACTCAGCTGTCTGTGTATGCACCGGTAAATTGTCAATAAAATCGACTGCCTCTTACCGCTACCGCCTTCTATGTACGGATGCAGCGTACGGCCATCAGGTGATGGTAACAGTACGGTTCACTCCGCTTCT